CTTCTCTCTGACTCTGTCTCTCTTTCTTTTTCTTCTTCTGTTCTCTTTACCTCTCTGTTTCTCTCTTTGTTTCTCTCTCTCTCTCTCTCTCTCTCTCTCTCTCTCTCTCTCTCTGTTTCTCACTCTTTCTTTCTCTTTTTTTAATGAATCATTAACCACCAACAGTAAAAAAATCTGAACCTAAATGGCGACAAAGGGCCGAATTTTTCTCAGTGGCGAAACTACAGCGGTCATTTTTAACAGCGCTGACCCGCTGAACTAGACGAGAAATAATATTAGGCGCTATATCATTTGGTTAAAGTTGTTTGGGGAAATTTTACTTGGTCGTAAAACAGCTATAAAACTGCGCTACACAACTTGTTATTGTTTATTTTTCTTTGTTATTTTTAATTCTTTTGTATCTATGTACCTTATATATATATATATATATATATATATATATATATATATATATATATATATATATATATATATATATATATGTATATATATATATACATATTTGTCTGATCTAATTTAGATATATGTACATGCGGATCTTTTTGCATTTGAATACGGTTACCGAAACACAAGAGGAACAGGCGCCTTTAACCACTAGACTACCATATCACTTGATAGAATTTAGGATGGATTAAAGCAGACGTGTGTGACGTAACGTAATGATTATTTATAATCTTTGGTCCTGTGTTGTTGTCCAATGCTATCAATCATGGTTTTTTCTAATTGGTGATGTTGGGTTTTGATTTTACAAACGTTGTTGATGTTGTTGTAGTTGTTGTTAAAGATGTTGTTGTTGTTGTTATGGTTGTTGTTGTTGTTGATGGTGGTGGTGATGATGATGTTGTTGTTGATGTTGTGCTGTTGGTGTTGTTGTTTTTGTGGTTGTTTTTGTTGATGATGTCGTTGTTATTGATATTGTTGATTTTATATTCTTAACAACAACAACAACAACAAATGTTTATTAGCAACAACACATAACCAACTACAAAAACATTCTAACACATACAACATAAACAACAAACAAATTGACACACTCTTCCGTTTTGTTTGTACGTTTGTATGTATGTATGTATGTGTGTATGTATGTATGTGTGTATTTATGAATGAATGTATGTATGTATGTATGTATGTATGTATGTATGTATGATTTGAACACAGTCAACCATTGTTCAACAGCACGCGAAACTTGAATTTCTCGAAACTCAGCAATTACTTTCTGATGATTTTTGTTTATAAACAGTTAACCAATCGATTACCTGATTTATTTAACAGTTATTTCAAGATGAAACAACAATGTCGGCAACAAAATAATCTTGTCTCTAACAAATCGAAAACAAATATTTTGTTCTCTCACGTGTATTGCAAGGGACCGAGAATCTGGAACGAAATTTTAAACAGTGGATTTAATTTTGAATTTATTTCGTTAAACAATTTTAAAAAAAGTTAAAAGAATATTTACTTAAGTTTAAGCCATAAATTTTTTGTTTTTGAAATTACGTTTAAATTTGGTTGAAAACTTATAACATTTTAAAAATTATGTCAAGGTGGTCACACTCGATGAGTTTCTGAAAAGAACTTTACTGTGGTCATCCTGTCTTCTTCTTATTGATATAAAGGAGAGATAATTTTTTTTTCTCTTTTTTAGATTAATTTTGAGAAGCAAATAAAAATTCGTTTCGTTTCGTTTCGTATGTATGTATGTATGTATGTACGTAAGTATGTATGTGGTTGTGTGTATTTTGTTTGTTTGTGTGTTTGTTTGTAATTAAGGGCGTAGACTTTTCGTCTATCAAATTATGTGAATCTATTTGATCTTGATGACATTCCAAAAAAAAAATAATTTTTTCTATTTATATCATTAATATTTTTTTGTTTAATAATCATGATTTAATAGCGGGTAATTATTTAATAATTGATAACAAACTCAAATAAACACATATACACACATACACCAACCAACATAACACACATACACACACACACGTAAAAACATACACATGTAAACACACACATGTATAAACATACCCAAGTAAGCACACACATGCATACACTTACACATATACACACACATACACAAATAAGCACACATACATACACACACACACATACAAACACACATACACATACATACAAAATGAACTGCAAACAAGTGGGAAGCCATTTTAGAATAAATGGGAAGCGAAGTAATAATAATTTTTTGGAAACTTTCCACAATATTTGTTTCCATGCCTGTATATTTGTATATAACTTTGTATGTTTGTGTATACGTTTGTATGTATGCATGCATGTTTGTACAACTGTATGTGTGTTTGTGTGTGCGTGTGGGTGTGTTTGTGCGTCTTTGTGATTGTATATGTATATGTTGTATGGATAGATGGTTTTTACTTTTTACTAAAACTACTTTTACTACTACGACTTTTGCTGCTACAACTGCTGCTACTTTTACTACAACAACAACTACTACTACTACTACTACTACTACTACTACTACTACTACTACTACTACTACTACTACTACTGCTACTACTATTACTACTATTACTACTACCACTAATTTTAGTATAAAGTGTGTGTTTGTTTGTATGTGTGTTTGTGTTTGTGTGTGTGTATGTGTGTAAGTGCATTTGTGGTGGGTTCATGTTAAAAAATTTTTGCATCCAATTCAGATTTGCTTCTATTAAGGACTGCATTAATTTGTAATGGTTTTATTTTAAAAAAGTATTGGTGATAATTGTGTCGTCGTCGTCGTAGTAGTAGTAGTAGCAGTAGTAGTAGTAGTAGTAGTAGTAGTAGTAGTAGTAGAAGTAGTAGTAGTAGTAGTAGTAGTAGCAGTAGTAGTTGTGGTGGTTTTGGAAGTTTAAATCAATTATTCAAATCTTAAAATATATATTTGAAGCCAGGGTCAGTGAAGGAAGTACATAAAATCAAATGAAAATATCGTTTTTTGAGTGTGTGTATGTGTGTATGTTGGTTTGTTTGTCTATGTGCAACATCATCAACAACAACAACAACATCAACACCACCATTAATAACAACGACAACAACAACAACAACAACATAGATATCATCAACAACAACAGCAACACAATCAACAAAAACATCAACAACAACAACAACACAATCAACAACAACCTCAATATTAACAATAACATCAACAACAACAACAATATCAACAACATAAATATCATTTATCAACAAAACGTGATGACATCATAAATAAGTTTTAATACAATTTTTCATCGATAGACAATAGAATCAATTTATTAAGACGTCATCATCATCTTCATCATCTTCACCACCATCGTCGTCATCATTATTATCATGGTAAACATTATTCGAATCACGTTCTTTATATATAATATACACACAGAGTAATGTGTACATGCATACAAACATACATACATTCAAACATACATACATACATACATACATACATACATACATACATAAATACATACATACATACATACATACATACATACATACATACATACATACATACATACATACATACATACATACATACATACATACATACATACATACATACATACATACATACATACATACATACATGCATACATACACAGTGTTGTATAGATTACTTTTGGAAAGTAATCTGATTACAAATTACAGATTACTTTGCAATGATGTGTCCGATTACAGATTACAGATTACATCATCAAACTTTTTGAAATTAGAGATTACATCATAAGAATTTTATTTAATGAATGTCACATAATTTTATGAATTATTAAATTGTAATTATTCATAAAATAATTTAAAAAATTGCATTTTTTTTAAATTTCATGAAATTTCAAACAAGTTTGAACCAGAAGCGACTTTGCTTATACTGCTTCATAAAGTTCTTGAGCAGACCAACTTTTTAACATTACGTGGGCGGTCTAACTAAAAAGCATACGACGTCAATGGATAAACTATTTCTTTTGAGTAAGTCTTTTTTTTAGTTTTTTAACTTTAAATTTTAAAAATCTTAGGTATTGTTGTCGTTAAAGTAATCTAAAATAAAGTATACATACATACATACATACATACATACATACATACATACATACATACATACATACATACATACATACATACATACATACATACATACATACATACATACATACATACATACATACATACATACATACATACATACATACATACATACATACATACATACATACATACATACATACATACATACATACATACATACATACATACATACATGCATCTCTTCTAGTACAGTCTGTCAACATGAAAGACCTAATCAACATCATCATTAATACCAACTACAAATCCAAAAAAAGCTTTTTAAACAACAGCAACAACAATAGCAACAACATATATATCTTTGAGATTTCATTTTGTAATGGTTGTATGATGCCGTTTATGTAGTTGTTGTTGTTCATTTGTTGTTCATTTGTTGATTTTGTTGATTTGTTGTTTTTATTGATTTGTTGATGTTGTTGATTTGTTGATGTTGTTGATTTGTTGATGTTGATTTGTTTTTGTAATAATTTTTGCTTATCATTTTTGGATATCATTTTTTTTTCTAGTTTTTTTTTCAAAAACAAAGAACGAGATTTTTTTTCTCCAAAATTTTATTTTCAAGATCTGGTAAGAAAAACGTATGAATGAATGAATGAGTGAATGAATGAGTGAATGAATGAATGAGTGAATGAATGAATGAATGAATATAAATAAATCACACAATATCACATAACAATATTGAAGGTTCTAAATAGGTACGTATGTATGCATATATATATATATATCCATAAATATGTACACACACACACACACAAACACATGTATATATACATAAATGATTCATAACGGTTTTTTGTTAATTAGGAATTAATAGTTTATAACGATATTTCATTAAATACAGACGCGCGCACACACGCACGCATACAACACGCACGCACGCACACGCAATAAAATAAAATAATAATAATAATAGCAGACGAACTCGCACCGAAAAGCTACAAGTTACAAGTCTTAACAGCCGCAGTGGGCGCGTCACGCTGCTGAAGCAGCTTCTTCGGCGTCAGTGGCGTCACAAAAGTGGACACGAAGGTTTTTCTAAACTGCCTGCTCATGGAACAGTAGAGGATGAAGTTGATCGAGCTGTTGACCATCGTCAGCAGGTCCATCACGTCACCCAACTTGTCGTAAATGTCCTTCACAAACGTGTCGTCCAGGATACCACTGAGAAGGTTCAGCAATCCGTTTGGGAATTCAATCATGGCGAAGAGAAAGACGACGATGATCAGCATCCTTGTGGTCCGGTACGTTCTGCGTTGTCTGGCGTCCAATCCGGGTTTCTTGGCTCCCAATGTTCTGGATTGCTCGTCTTTATTTCGATCGCTCATAGCCGCTCGGAGCAGCTGGCGGCGTTTTCTCTGCGCCGACGTCATCTTGCGTTTGAGTAGCAGGCTAAGGATGACCATGCCGATGCACGGGATGATCTTCACGAGCACCGCCTGCACCCAGAAGTTCAAGTTCGTCAGCATGATCTCCGGACCGGTTGACGTTTTGAAATCTGTTTGTTTGTTCGGTGCGTTCGTTTGTACAAGCGATTGTTATAGTATCAGTAGCAGTAGTTGTGGTAGTTGTAGTAGTAGTTGTTGTAGTAGCAGTAATTGTAGCTGCAGTAGTAGTAGTAGTAGTAGTAGCAGCAGTAGTAATTTTAAATAGATTTTATTTTATTGGCGGTTTGACTGGTCTTTGTAATATATGAGTTCCACGTTATTAAATTATACAAAAGTGATGAAATGACGTCATAATGAGATGTGATAAGCGATAATAGGATGTGCCGATTAGACGGGCGATAACACCGAGAGAAATTATCGTTCCTATTTTTTGGCAGGGTTTTGTTTGCTGCATAATCTAATTCAATTTTATTTAAAAATCACCAACAAGATACGATAAGAGCCTTTTACATACGTTGAAAACCATAGAACTAAAACAACAGGCAATCACAACAACAACAACAACTACTACTACTATTACTATTACTACTACTACTACTACTACTGCTCTAATGCTACCACTACTACTATTACTACTACTACTACCACTACTACTACAACTACTACTACCACTACTACCACTACTACCACTACTACTACCACTACTACTACT